CTGTGGAGATGGGGTTGACAATTAGCAGGACAATTAGCAGGTGTCCTGTGGAAAGCCCGTCCTCTGAAGGTGCTATTGGCATCGGAACAAAGCCTTCATTGGCACCAAACATTTGGTTTCATTCCCCAGCTAATGTTCCTTGCATTTAAAACAACCCCGTAATCTCTCCAAAAAAGTGTGGGGTGGGGGAGCCTTTCCCAATCTAGTGCCCTCCAGTGGACTGTGTTGACTGGGGCTTGTGGGAATTGGATTCCAAAACATCTGGAAGGCACCAGGTTGGAGAATGTTGCTCTAAGACCACCCAGTCCCATTGTTACACACCAAGCATACTTGAGTATCTTTACTTACACATACATTCCACTGTGGTAAATGGCGCTTACTCCCAGGAAAGTGTGTTTGGGACTGCAGCTGATCACCCAGGGAGGTGTTCCAGGCCGGTCTACAATTCCGAGATTCTGCTTCTCTGGACGTTCACCACAAACCTGAGCATCTTTTGGATGCAAGGCGAACATTTCCTATGTAGTCTGTCACTGTCTGGGGCTTAAATGGCTGGGTTCATTTACACAAATTATTTCTCAAGGCAGTAGTAATTAATACCTTGCTGAGATATTTTCCAGCTCCGCTCTGGATGGATAAGAATTACACCTGGGTTTTGTGCAGCCTCTGGCGTGTGTTTATTCTGCATCAAGGAATGGAAAAAATACTAGAAAGTTTCTTGAAATGAGAACATTTGTCTCCTAGATGTATCATGGAATAAACTCTGGGCAAAGGACCAAGGTAAGTAATTAGACTGGCTGCCTTCCATGTTTAAGATACTTGTCCTAGGCCACAGATTGTCCCCCTCCCTCCACTCTTTTTCTTTTTTTGAGAGATGAATTTCAAGAAGTATTTTCTAGACTACCATTCACCCTCTTGAACTATGTTGTGCATGGCTTAGTAACAATGTTCATATTGTCTCTTACTAATTCTGGAACACAAGATAGCAATTTTTTTTAAAAGCTTACTTTTTTCCTGCCTTTCCACCAAATGGTGCCCAAGGAGATTCCAGGTGCTCAATTGCAAGAGAAGCCTTAAAAATTGTGTCTGGGAATTAGCACACAAGCAGCTGCAGAGGGCAGTAAGTGGGATTCCCCATTCGCATGCTCCTGCACTCAGAACTTTGTTGCATCCATTTCTTTCATTCTTCTTTCCCCACACAAATCCTGCTCCTTTGCACTTGTCATCAAAGATCCAGTGCTGGTTCCAGGTTCTAAGGGGTCCATGAACACAGTGTCTTCAGGGACCCCCTTGGCTACTTGGTCAACTTCACCCCTGCCCATTCATTTCCTTTCCCCCCACTGAATCTAGACATCAAGGGCGTTGCTGGATACTTAAAATAATTGAGGCCTAGACCCACAGAAACAAACATGCATAAGATTTAGATTTGTTAATTTATACACATAGATGCAAACTTAGAATCCTAATTGCACAGAAGCTAAGCCAATTAATTTCCCATCCAAATCACCCCGGATAAGTTGCATAATTAATTTGCACCCTACCCCAGATCAGTTCCTCTTAAATTTACCCACAATTAATTTCCTAACAGATCCTGCTTCAAATCAGCTTAATTCCCCTTCATTTCCCTCCTTCATTAATGGCAAGATCATCCCTAAGTAGTCATTTTAAATTAATTTATTTCCACCCCCTCTTAATTTCCTACCCAGTAAACCAGATTGCCCCAATTCAATTTCCCCCAGAATTCATTACCCACGCAGAAAACTCAAAGCACCAAAAATGGGGGCCCCCAATGAGAATTGTTTTCTGCTTGACATAGTGGCTGAAGATGCCTGCGCATTTCTTCTACCTTTGAAGGAACTGCCTAATACCAGATCTATCGATCTCAGTGTTGTCTCTTCTGTCTGGCAGCAGTTCTTTGGGTTCATAGGCAGAGGTCTTTCACATCCCCTGCTACTTTATCATTTGCTATCTGGAGAATCTGGGTTTTGAACCTGGCACCTTTCACATGAAAAGTTAGAGCTCAACCCATTGAGCTATGGGCCCACCCAGGGAACTCTTGAGCTCTATGGTCATGCCAACTGAGTGAAGTCCCAGCAGGTGGCTGTTTCAAACCTCAAAGCCCCTGTTAAGAGGCATCTATGTTTTACGGTATAATATAAGCTAGGGTGTGTGTGTGTGTGTTTAAGAAGTTGTCAGGAGATACAGATGCAGAGAGGAATTAATTGAATTTTGTGCCTCCAGGCTCAGCTAAAGAGCAAGCATGAGTGCAAACACAGTTTCAACTCTGACCCTATCACAGAAAGGCTCAGAGTTCGTTGGCTGAAGACAATTTCTTGGCTGAATGCATTCAGAAACTCCCCTCAGACTTCCCCACTCAACGCAGAAAGGTCAGGGTGGAGCAGACAGGGACACAGCGGGTGAAGTCAGTGCAGGCACTCCATTGTCCCTGGTTGTGTTGCAATTCCCTTTTCAGGCATAACACCTGAGCAAGGGGTAGCAGCAGAACTCCCCCACCCGCCGTTTGATTGTTATTGTCGTCATCATGAACATAAGAGTGTTAAAGTAGACATAAGAAGTGAATGACTTCTTTTGAAATACAGTTGTACCTCTGGTTACATACGCTTCAGGTTACAGACTCCACTAACCCAGAAATAGTACCTTGGGTTAAGAACTTTGCTTCAGGATGAGAACAGAAATCATGCTCCGGCAAAGCGGCAGCAGCAGGAGGCCCCATTAGCTAAAGTGGTGCTTCAGGTTAAGAACAGTTTCAGGTTAAGAATGGTCCTTCAGAACGAATTAAGTTTTTAACCCGAGGTACCACTGTAATTACACATTTGATCCCTACAAACCTGGAGAGAGAAATCTCTTAAGATGAAATAAGGGTTGAATAAAACTCAAAAAAACCCCTAAGATATCAGTAGGAGCGACTGGCTGCGCTTTGATCCGAAGGCAGCAGCAGAACTGCATGAAGGGAGCCCTGCCTCCCCAAAGGTTGCTGCCTACCTTAGATCAAGGGGCAGAGCCATCAACACATCCTGCCTACCTGGAGCTGGGAATAGGAAAACAACCCCTAGGAGAACCTAAAAACATCTAAGTGCATTTCCTGCTGTTAGACCCTCTCTTACAGAGATGAAGAACCGAACCATTAAAAGACAAGATACGAAAGACCACATTTCAACCCCACTGCTTTGACTCTACAAAGCTGTCCATGACACCCTCAACCCAAACCGTCCAAAATTGTCACAGATTAAAATAGGGACGCTTTTCACAGAACACTATTCATGCCATACACTAGTGTACTCCACTACTGGTATATTTTATTCTTCTCGTTCATTTTTAAGTATTCAATGCCTTTTTTAAAAAAAGGTTCAACAACATCAAACCTAATATAAACAATAACAAAATAATATGTGCATGAAAAAGAATGACAGATAAAATTCGGTGCCAACAGCTTAACAACAGAGATATTGCAAAGGCCGCTCAGCTAAAAATAACCTGCAGAGGAGTTGCAACAATTAAAAATCTAGAGCAGTGGTTCCCAATTAGCTAAGTACTACAGAGCCCCCATTTTTCAAAAGTCAAGCCAAGGGTTAGATCAGGCTTCCTCAACCTCAGCCCTCCAGATGTTTTTGGCCTACAACTCCCATGATCCCTAGCTAGCAGGACCAGTGGTCAGGGATTATGGGAATTGTAGTCTCAAAACATCTGGAGGGCCGAGGTTGAGGAAGCCTGGGTTAGATGAAGCAATACCCTGAGTAAGTGTAAGGCAGATTCTTATGACTATTAATCTTTATCTTTCAATAAAAATAATTTAGAATATTAGATCTCACAGTGGGTTTAGCTGTGCATATAATAGAATGGCTGCATTTTTAAAATATACTAATAATATCTATACCCCTCCCATCTAAGCTGGGTTTCCCCAGCCACTGGGGGCAGCTTATAGTACATATAAAACATATTAAAACATTAAACATTAAAAACATCCCGATATAGGGCTGCCTTCAGATGTCTTCTAAAAGTCTGGTAGTTGTTCATTTCCTTTACATCTGAAGGGAGGGTGTTTCACAGGGAGGGCGCCACTACCAAGAAGGCTTTCTGTCTAATCAGCAACATTTATTAGGTGGATATTTATTTTATTTATTTAATAGAATTTATACACTGCTTGATTTCAAGAAAAACCCACAAAGCGGTTTACAAAACGGTACCTTCCATCTCTTCAGATTTTTAAGTTCTAGAGTAGCCTTCGCGAATCTGGCACCATGTAGATGTTTTGGATTACAACTCACAAAGGACATCCTTCGCCATCAGCTACTTCCTGTCTGGCAGGAAGTTGCACCCATCCTATACTGGCTGATGGGAGTTGTAGTCCAAAACATCTCTAGGGCACCAGGTGGGGGGAAGAGTTCCCTGCTGAGTATCAGGTGCAGCTAAAACCTTGAGAATGGCTGCTCTACTACATACACTAACAATATTTTTAAAAGCTATCTGCCAAACCTCTGCGAAAGCTAAGACAGAAACAAAATTGGAACAGGTACCGGGAAACAAGGACTGGTCCTGAAAATTAAGGATGAGTTGGAGCACACGGCAGTCATTTAATAAGCTATAAGGAGGCAGACATGGACAAGGGTTTCTGATTAAGAAGAAGAAGAACAGAGTGGCTGTACAGAGTAAGCAGAACCCATAATCAGTGAGCTAAACATAGCCAAATATGCCAAGGACATTGGGTGCATCAGAGCATTCATTACGTTCAGCTTTTACAGTAGCTGGTTTCTTTCTCTTCTTTCTTCAAAGGCACAAAGAAGTCAGTCAGCATCCTTTCCATGATCAGCTACTGTCAATAGGAAGCATGAGCAAGAAGACAAAAAGGGGGCCTATGAAGACTGAAAGCCTGTTAAAATATTTGCAACAAAACGTTGGTTCAGGTGACAGTAACATTTAATTGTTGGGCTAGCTGTGTGTGTGTGTGTGTGTGTGTGTGTGTGTGTGTGTATCTGTGTATGAAAAGAAACCGTAGCTCAATGGCAGAGCATCTTCCTTGCATGTAAAAGGTTCCAGGTTCAATCCCAGGTGTCTCCATGTAGCAAAAGTCCCCCATCTGATATCATGGAGAGTCACTGCCAGTCAGTGTGGACAATACTGGGCTAGCTGGACCAGTGGTCCGACTCATTATAAGGCAGCTTCCTATGTTGCTATGACCCTTCCTCAAAGAAGGTACAACATGTCTTGGTGCAATCCCATGCAACCCTCTCATTATTAGAATTCATACTTCAACCCTGAACTAAAAGCTTGCATTTCTAGATGAGCTAGAAATTGAGTGGCTGCAAATGTGCCCTAGTTTAAGACCCATTAATGAAACATACTTCTGAGTAAACACACAGAGGATTACACTGTAATCATGGGAAGGAGGGGGAATATTAAAAAAAAAAGTCTTTTAAGGGGTTTCAGGTAGGTTGGGGTGTCTGGATGAAAAGAACTTTTGGAACTACTGGTTCTTAGTAGTCCAAACTCTGTAGCAATCCATGGAAATTTACCAGTGTAGAATTTGGCCCATCAGTTGCATCCAATCTACCACTCCATTAATACCCAGGTCCAATAATGACATAATCTGGCAGGGGACAACTGTACTTACATTCTCTGTTTAAAACAAGTGGAGGGGGGCCGGGAGGGAGGAAGAGTTGGAGGAGTCATTAAAACAATGCCTGGCAGTCACTTTCCACTTTTGGCTGGTTTTCCCGATCACAACTCAAGGATTACGAAACACACAAGCAGAAACACAACACAGTAATTGCAAATGTTTTCATACTTTTGTTGATGTGACATTTCCATTTCTTCCCCCCATTCCATGTTAACACATATTGTTTGGTAACCGCAATGGGAATTCAACTGATGTGGATGCTGAATCTTCCAGATTCTACACAGTCTTTCAGTTCCAAGAAAATGTTCCCCATTCTGAACTGTTCTAAAACCCAGGAATCTGATCCACACACTACAAGCTTGCAAGCTTTGTAATTTAACTAACAAGACTGCTGATAAATCCTGGGCTAGAATGAAAGTGTCCTGTTGAAGGCCCACGCTGATTTTTTTAAAATGCCAAATATTACTATTCATGACCCTATAGGAAATATGAATTCTAGCATACTGCACAAGTTGGGTTGCCATATTTCAAAAAGTGAAAATCTGGACACAGAAGTTGTTGAGCTACACTTCAAATGGGTTGCCATACATCTGGATTTTCCTGGACATTTCAGCGATTTCTGCCTGGACACTGTTTCCGATGACTGAATCCCAGTTAGGTCCGGACGTAGGGAAACCCTAGCTAAATATGAAATATCAGATCGAGATTTGCCATGCCCTGTTAAAATGGTAGGCATACCTCATTCTTACACAAGAAAAAAAGTCAATTCTGATCGTATAGAGATCAACAGGCAGCCTCCTCTGTTGGTGGGTCATTTTGGGCTGTGTTGCTGCACTGGAATTATGGCTGGCCCAAATGTTTAGACCATAGGAAGACAAATCCAAAGGGGGATGCTGAGGTGAATGAGGAGGCACAACCACCTCCCATCTTATACATTTCAGGGGTGGAGGCAAATTATATTTTGCGGCTAGTGCTTCCTCACTGCAAGTGGCTGCCATTTCTCTCCCTGAAGGGTTGCATCCCAGACTCTGGGCAGCCCCTAGTGATGTCATGAGGGGTGGTCGCAGTGATGTCATCAACCGTGACACATTAAGTATGAACCACAGTCGCAGAGAGCATGTCATTCAAATACACCCCCCCCCAGAAAGTCTAACAAATGAGCAAATATGTTATTTTTTTGGAAATTAAAATAGAAACCTTAGCTAAAGGAGATGTTCCTATGACCCCTGGAGAGTCTATGTGATAATTGGCAGCTGACTCCTGCTGGGCTGAAGCTTGCAAGCTGCACGCACAGTCTTCTTAATAACAGTAAAGAAAAGCACTCTCATCCACCTGGAGATTCAAGCCCTCTACCTGCCAGCAGGAGGGGGGGCAGGCAAGCAAACCAGGGCTGGATCTAGAAACATCAAAAAAAGTTTCAGGAAAACGTGTTGTAAACCTCATAATGGGAAATCACATTGCCGAAAGATGGAACTCCACAGCGCCACCTGGTGTCACAGTGTTATAACGCATTTTAAATGCTTTTTCTTTACTAATGTAGCTGAGTCCCTGGAGACTCCAGTTTAGCCGTGGAGGTCTGGAAACCCTATCCCCATCCTCCATTCGGATGGCCATTCTCCAGCGGGGAGTTGTGGCATCCACACATACAGAAAACTGCGGTCCCGGGGTGTAATGTTTTTCTGTGTGTGACACCTGCCATTCTGCCCCCACCCCCAGTAATGTCCCTGTGAATATTACAGCATGCTCACATTTCTGTTATGGCACACATTTGGCAAACTGCAGTCTTAGGATATGTCAGCATGCCACCCCCCCCCCCCGTGTGGGTCTAAGTGTCACCCATATGCAGAATGTGCTCATCGGCCCCATCTAATCTGTATGGCAAACTAAGCAAATGCAGAGTTTAGCACAGCAGCGGCCCAATCCTGTGTGCCGTATGAAGAAAGCAGGTGGCTGGCTGCAGAAATGTTCCTTCCCGCAGAGGAAATATCTCTGGATGACTCAAGCAACAGAGAGACACGCCATATGCTACGAAGGGATGCTGCAAACTCTCAAAGTTTCTAGCCAACATGACCCAGAGGGAAATCCTTTACCACCCAAGCATGGCAATCAGTCAAATCCCGAGAGGCAGCCGAACCTCTCCCCTGAATCCAAACCTGAAAAGGGAGATAAGATTTACCGTATTTTTCGCACCATAGGACGCACCGGACAATAGGACGCACTTTGTTTTAGAGGGGGGAGAACAAGAAAAAAAAATTCTCCCCCTCTCTGCCCAGCGCCCCTTCAGTGAAGCGGCAGGAGGCGCTGCGCAGAGAGGGGGAGAACTTTCCCCCTCTTGTTTTCCCGCTCTAAAAGAAGGTGCCGTTTAAGGTGCGTTCAGGCGGCTACCTTGGAAGCCTGGAGAGCGAGAGGGGTTGGGAGCAGCGGAAAGGCGCAGCGGAGAGGTTCCTGCCATAGCCGCGCGTCACCTCTCCAGCCGGGAGAGGGTCGCGGGGCTATGGCGTCTTCGCTCCATAGGACGCACACACATTTCCCCTTCATTTTTGAAGGGGAAAAAGTGCGTCCTATAGAGCGAAAAATACGGTAACAGAGCTGAGCCCCCAAACCTGTTCTGAAACAAATCATGAGGCACGGTGTGAAATGAGGGAGTTCACCTGAGCTGATGACACCAAGTGTTTTCCTGTCAGGAAATCAACACTAGTCCCTCCCTGAAGTGGTTAACTAGGTGACTAAGCTCTCCTGACAGGAAGCGTGAGTTACAGACAGGTTTGAGACCCGACATAAATTAAACCTGATAGGGTTGCCATATGTCCTCTTTCCCCCGGACACATCCTCTTTTTTCAGGATTAAAATTTCCGTCTGGGCAGATTTTTACCATTTGGCAAAATGTCCGGGTTTTTTTGTTTGGCTTTTTTTGTTTACAGTAACCCAAGATCCACCCCCCCCCCCAGTGCATTAGACTCAGATCTGAGGCACCCAGCTATGCTAGTCTGCAGCAGAGAATCACAAAAGAGCAGCATCTTAAACTAGCTATGTACTGTTAAATCCCTTCTCTTGTGGCTGAACTAAAGGGACGATGGCTCAGCTACAAGAGTCTGGGAGGGCAAGAGTTAACACCCCATGCCCTTAAGGAGAGTCCATATGTACATGTTAAACAGTTTAATAAATTGTTCTGTGCACACTTATGTTCACAAAGATGTGGGCATGAGCCCAAATACTTTCATGGGGTAAGTGAGGGAGCTATATGTATGATTATTATATTGTTGTTGAAAGTTAAGAACATTACTGCTAGCAATATATCAGAGCTCCTATAGCCTACATACAGTAGGGGTATTTAAAATGAGAGTCTTCATAGTGATCCATAGTTCAAGCCAAGGCTGAAAGCAGAGCTGCAGAATACCTTTAAAGCACATGGCTTCCCTCATATAATTCTGCAAACTCTAGTTCCTTAAGAGTGCCAGGAATTGTAGCTCTGAGAAGAGAGAACTACAGTTTATTTAACTCGTAACATTTATACACTGCTTGATTGCAGAAAACCTCAAAGCCAGTTGTCAGTTCCCAGGGTCCTTAGGGTGGGGGAATGTACTTCTGTGAACTGCCCTGAGATTTTATGAGGAAGGGTGGTATATAAATAAAATAAAACAAATTGTGTGGATCTGTCGTTAGTTCTCATTGAGGTGAAAAACCTTTGTGTGTCGGCTGCACCACTTAAGATTGCACATGAAGGTTTAGGCGATTGACTGATCATTGCTGCGTAATTTTAAAATAACAATAACCCTGCACATAGGAATTTAGAAAGGCAAGGAGAAAAGGTCTAGCCAAGAATACTCCCACATGCTTGTTTCCTTTATGTAAGGAATTGGTTTTTTGTTTTGTTTTTGTATAAATCATATGAGCTCCCATCTGCAGTATCAAGTGGTACAGCTGAAACACAGGTTTGCTATTTCAGTAAGAATTAGACCATGGAAAGAGGATGTAATGTTTTATCTGTCTTGTTGTGTATGTGTATGTGTGTGTGTGAGAAAGAAAGAAAGAGAGAGAGAGAGAGACCGAGACAGAGAGAGAGAGAGAAAGAGAGAGAGAATAAACAAAGTAGTTTGCCTAAAGTAGTCTCACTCTTCCTAACATAAAATAGAAATAGGGGTGTGTTTATGACTTAGCCAGGCAAGGTGATTTTCTGCAAATTCCCTAAGCGTAAGTGCAAAATAAACATATACAGCTCACAGGACCTATCAGGATGATGGTGACAACAATGAATTCCAGAGGAATACGTAATGATGAGCCAATTGAAATGGTTGCCAGTTCCACACAGAACTTCAGACTTGACGCCCGGGGAAAACAGAGTCTGCTCTTTCCACTCTCTGCTTTGGACAACATGTTCTTTTTGTTTAATCTGGGAAACACACACACACACACACACACACACACACACACCCCTTCAGCC